GTTTGGGGGATGCGAACCCGCGACCCGCATATTGCGAGTCGAGCGTCCTAACCACCTGGCCATGCCGGGCCTTTGCATTTAGTAAACGTAAATATTCCGAGTATGCTTGAAAAACCCTAAGAAAGCGTTAGATTTCTATAAAATACGGATTCAACCAAAAGGAGGCGATTTCTGGTATTGACAGCACTATACGTTTTTGTAAACATTAGAGCCTCATGTACAAGCTTGCATCAAAATGGCGTAAAAATTAACTTAGTAATCTTGTTCTGATGCAAGATGAAAAAAATGTCCAGAAAAAAAAATGCATTTAATTTACCACAAAGAGTTCTTAGAACCTGAAGACGAAAAGCAAAACTTTCGAAACGTCGTCCTGGACACTTGAGCTGCATACGTAGATTGTATAGTGTCACCAATATATTTCTATAAGTGTTTCTCTAACAGGCAATTGCCGTCCGTTTCACAGTCAACTCAGTTTGAATCATCTGCCTGAATTATTTATCAAGAGTTCATAGAATTCTTGATAAATTTAAAATTCGAAAATTCAATCGTGTTCAAAAATAAACTTTGCATCACGTTAGGTACCAGTTCATTGCATGTTTGTTAAATCTCTTGCTACAGTTTGATACGGAAATATGATTTATCTTCTTACGTACCAATTGTACAGCACATTTGATAAATCTCTCTCTACATTTTTACACACACACACAAAAAACAAAAAACAAGAGGGAATTCTCAATAGTCGCGGCACTTGAATTTCTTTTACGCAGGATCAGAGTAAACTAATCTGTGAAACCTTTTTTTCCTCCTTTCTATTAGCTATATTTTTGCTCCCCAGTGGCACAGCAGTATGCCTTCGGAGTTACAACGCTTGAAACCGGGTTTCGATACAGGTAGCCCAGTGTGTAACTTTGTGATGAACTTCAAACAAACAAACAAATCAGTCCGACTCCAAACTTTAAAATATATCTTTGAAATATATTTTCCTTTGACGTATCTTGTGCTGACCGAATTCTGTCGTAATGATATAGCTAAAGTGACATAATGGTATAGCTAAAGTGACATAATGATATAGCTAAAGTGACATAATGGTATAGCTAAAGTGACACAATGATATAGCTAAAGTGACATAATAATACAGCTAAAGTGAAATAATGATATAGCTAAAGTGACATAATGATAAAGATAAAGTGACATTATGATATAGCTAAAGCAACATACTTTTATTTTTTGTTGTTGTAAATCTAAATAAAAAACAAACAAAAATAGATAGTGAAATATTCAAAGCACTGCATTAGCTCGTTTTATACGATAATTATATATATTGCTATTATAGAGTTTTTGACACTTAACATATGATACAATTTTATAATACGGTTTTCTTTACAGTAAGCGGCAGTATTTAGTAATTAAAACACATCGTATTCATTATATTGCTTTACGTCTTCGTAAGGTGCTTTTATTTTTGGTTTGTCCCCCGGTGGGAGAACGGTAAGTCTTCGGATTTACAACGCTAAACTCAGGGGTTCGATTCCCATCGGTGGACACACACACACTCTGTTCGGTTTGAGCTAATCAACTGAAGAGCAACTTTGTAAGTAGTTTAACTAGAACGTTTAATCTTTTATCTTTTTCCTCCTGTAGCGGTCCTTGCGTGTACAATAACAGTCATGTAGACTTGAAAGATAACGTTTTTGTGTTTGAATTTTGTGCTATGTTACATTCTTGTTAGGCTATCTCAGAATATACGTCAAGTCGTCCATGCATGTTCTGGCCGAACTCTCACCTGATTGGGAAAAGTTTGGTGACCAAGGCAACCAGTGGTTAGAGGGGCAGGTGCCTGTTCCAGAACTAATAACAGAATTTCAAGTAAGTAAAATTCAACACAGGCTAAAGATAGTTATGTAACTCTTACAAGATAGGATTCAAAATAATAGATCTAGTAATAATAATTACATTTCGACGTTGTATTATTGAGTACTATTCTGTGTACACCTTAATGTTCACTGTTGAACGGATTCTGTAACCGTTGGCAGATATTTATAACATTCTTATATAAGAGATACAAAAGTGGATCCTTCCATATTAAAAACAAACATGGTTTTAAAATAATTGTTGTATAAATATGCAACTATAATTAAACATCAACTAGTTGAACCCAAGAAGGTTAGAAAGTGTGTAGAAGGTTCTCACTGGGCGAGAAAACTTCATCAGTTGATATGCAAAAAAAACAAAACAACAATAATAATAACAAAACAATCTGTCTAACAAAAATCCAGAGTAAATAGATACATTTCAGTTGGTAAATATACGTATATGGATAGTGAACGAAACGAAAACAGTAAACTGGCAACATCTAGATGGTGGAGAACTCTTGAGCAAATTAATAATGAATTATCGGTTAGTAGTAGATAGTTGTCTGTGACATTAAAACTGGTGCAGAAATTCACATTCCAGGAGAAAATTATTAAAAGTGTTAGGAAGAGTTAAATTCTGGTGTGGACAAGTTGTCACTTTGCTGGGCTGCGGACCGAAAGACCGAAGATTGAAGCCCTCGATATGCTGCCGAACACAACAAGCGGTCATTTATGTTATTCGATTTAGAAAAGCAAACTGCTCTTCCTTGCTTCCCCCCCCCCATAATCTATCTAGTTTACGAGGAAAACGGTTTTTCCAGCGGTTATTTCAACGTTCCAATTGCACAGAATTTTATAGACGATACGTCTGGAATAGTGTAAGTATTCGTTTCATTCTCGAGCTGATTGACATAATATGTCGTGGAAACAACTTGTGTATTTGTGTACACCTTCTTAATTGTATGGACGCCTTTTGCCACTGATATTTGGGTTTGTGGACCACGGCTCAGTACGACTTGTTGCAGGTCTCCTTCTCGATGGCCCTGATGCCCCAAGTTGATCCAAATTTCTTTGTTTTTCAATGCTGTCAAGTATAAGGGATATTTTGTCTTGGAAATTCCAAGTTTTCAATCTGAACACGTCTGTATGATATGTGTGTGTATGCATATTTTGCGTCGTAAAGAGCTGTTACATACCCTTTCCAATAGCGATTAATTTTCAGTAGAATCACAATACCTATAAGACACAAAACCATGTCAAAATGTAGTTCAAATACAAGACGTTATATCGGCTACGATTGTCACGTGACTTGAGGATATACCGTTTTAATAAAACGCACTCAAACCTTTGGCCCGGCATGGCCAGGTGGTTAAGGCACTCGACTCGCAATTTGAGGGTCGCGGGTTCGAATCCCCGTCACACCAAACATGCTCGCCCTTTCAACCGTGGGGGCGTTATAATGTGACGGTCAATCCCACTATTCGTTGGTAAAAGAGTAGCCCAAGAGTTGGCGGTGGGTGGTGATGACTAGCTGCCTTCCCTCTAGTCTTACACTGCTAAATTAGGGACGGTTAGCGCAGATAGCCCTCGTGTAACTTTGCGCGAAATTCAAAACAAACAAACAAACAAACTCAAATCTTTGTATACGATCAATTATTTCAATTGAAGGGCAGATTTTAATGAGATATTAGCGCATGTATGATAACGAAACCTTAGTGGATGATTAAATTTACTTTTGCCGTCCAAATTTTGTGACATAACATAATTAACTGGGTTACACAAGAGATAGAAAAGATCATTTACATCATAATTCTGATAAGAAAGTGCAATGACATCCAGTGGTGAAACTGTAGGGTGGGGAGGGCACATTGTGAAACTAAAAGTACCTTTGGTTGTTAATAACAATTGTTTACTTGCTAGTAGTTAAGCACCAAGCTACATAACAGACCAACTGTGCTGTGTCCACCTGGTACCTAAACTCAGTTTGTAGCGTTTTAAAGTTGCAGACTTACCTCTAAGCTACTGGAAAGGTAACAGGAGTTGTAAGTTTTAAACTTCTTGTTTTCACTAACAAGATGTGTTACGAGTTGAAATTTCAGTTTTTTGGAGGGTTTTGTTTGTTTGGTTTTTATTTTTGAGCAAAACCACATATGGCTACGTGCTGTGTCCGCCGTGGAGAATTGAACCCCAGATTTTAGTGCTGTAAGCCCGCAAAGTTACCGCTGTCCCACCGGGAGACTTTTTGGTGGGAATGACCCTTTTCTCTTATCAACAGCCTCATGACAACATGTATAAAGCTATTTTTAGTCATGGTTCTAGCACATAAATTTCTTTGTAAAACCTTTGAGGATAAAATTGTGGTAGTTTAATGTACCCCCTAGATTGATATTTGATAAACCAGTTGGTAAGTTGACCAGGGAAAAATAAGTTTATTGTTTAACTGAAACCGTAGTAGTCTTCATTTGAAATTTAAATGAAACCACTAGATTTTTTTTTCTGAATTAAGCGACTTTCATTCATTAGTTTTCTGATGAAATGAATAAGGTAAAGCAATTACTGTGACACAAATATCTAGTCAAGGTTTTTGTTCGAAAATTTCAGAAGCAGGTAAGGTAATGCAATTACTGTGACACAAATATCTAGTCAAGGTTTTTGTTCGAAAATTTCAGAAGCAGGTAAGGTAAAGCAATTACTGTGACACAAATATCTAGTCAAGGTTTTTGTTTGAAAATTTCAGAAGCAGGTAAGGTAAAGCAATTACTGTAACACAAATATCTAGTCAAGGTTTTTGTTCGAAATTTTCAGAAGCAGGTAAGGTAATGCAATAACTGCGACGCAATCATATTAATAATATCAATCATATTAATATCAAAGAAATAAAATGATTTTTATAACAGATTATAAACAAATAGTTATAAATTTCCACCATTTAAAAATCAGTTTTCATAAGTATATTTGACTGATTCTACGTTTTAAAAGTAAAACACTTTAATCATACGAATCGTTATTACGACTTATATGTAAGAAATGAACGCAAGGTTTTCCTTAAAGGTAATCAATTTCATGACAATAATATTAAAGTCAAATGTTACAGAAAACTGAAAATCTGTTATAAACGAGGCACATTTAAACCTGGGTACAATTCATGGCTACTGAAGAGCTTTGTTTACCAAGAACATGTTCCAACATGTTCTTACGTAATACTTAAAAGTATTGTTTAGCAGTTATTGTTGAAACAATGGAGAACTGTGTTAATTATAACAGAAACTAAAGCTGTATAGAGTCGCTATAATAATAATATAGTCATATAGCTTATTTAATCAAATGTTAATTGCGTGATTCTTGACGCTTTTCTAAAGCTTCGAAAATCCATTTGCTGCTATTGATTATAAAGCTACTATGAAAGACCAAACTACATTAAATTGGAAATGAAACAAATATTTTGAAATACGTTCCAATTTCACTTTTATAGGGAAGTTCTCGTGATACTTAAAATAAATATCTATGAATATTCATGAGAGCTTTTCTAAAGAACTCAGATTTATAGTTTAAATGAGCAACGTTCTAAATAGCTACACTCACCATACGTAATTTACTCCAATTAACATCGAATTCCAAAACAACAATAAATCCAAGAAAATGATGTAATATAATGGAATCGTTAAGTTTCCTTAATTTTCCTGATATCACATAGATTCTCATCAAGAAATTCATAATGTCATGTAGTTACGATAAATAGATCTTCATAAAAATAATGTGTATTAAGTTTACACGATGTCTTTATAGATTATTATTGAAGGGGTTCGCGGTGCCAGCTACGTTGGTGATACAGCCATTGATGACGTCAGGCTCCAGCTCAACCCCTGTCAAGCGTCCACATCTCAAGAAATAACGACGACAGGTAGGTAATGCCTTCAGCCCAAATTGAATTGTTCCAGATGCAATAAAATATGTTTCCTAAAATTTCTTAGTACATATATTAATGCCTTCAGCCAAAATTGAATTGTTCCAGATGCAATAAAATATGCTTCCCAAATTTTCTTAGCACATATATATGTATAAACTTACCTTTCCAACTGGACCAAAGCATTGTTTAAAAGTGGTTTTGGTGGAAGTTTTCAGAACTTAAACACTCCATATATATACATGTAACATTGTTATTTATAGTTGTTGTAATTTTGAAATGACTGGATTTGGAATGATCTCTTACTTAGACAGGTATTGCAATAAACTGAGCTATCGAGGTACATGAAAATAGGTGTGCTCAATACTAGTAGAAGTTAGAATTACTTTTGGTATTAAACGTGCTCTGTGGGATCAGTTCAATGGGAATAGGGAGTTTTTTTAGAATGAATGGTTTACATTTAAATAGGATAGGGGCTGACTTGTTTGCAATTGATGGCCAATTTTAAACTATGATTATACAGTGGATAGGGCCAGAATAATGAAGAAAAACAAGATGTAGATAGGGATATTGTGTGTGAATGAAGTAGAAAGGAAATTTTAACGGTAGGCTAAACTGTTATTATTGTAATGCTGGAAGTATAAAAAATAAAACGGATAACCTTAGAGCACTGGTCGGAACAGAAGATTTTGATGTGATGGGAAAACTGAAACCTGGCTAAATGTATATAGTTTGGATTATAGGAATTTCTTTGAAATACAGGCTTATAGGTTGTTTAATAGTGATAGAGTACTGAAAAGAAGGAGAGTGACTTTATATGTAAAATGTGAGTTCCAACCTGTTGAAGTTGAAGATATCGAAGCTAATAGCAATAGCTTGAATGTATTTGAGTTTCTATTAATGGTTACAAGGGGAGAAGGCTTTTAGTTGGAATTTGTTACAAACCACCAAAAGAAACTGATGAAATTAAATAAAAATTCCATAGTGAGATAAAAAATTCAACTATTAATGAAATTTATGACAGATTTTAATTTCAGACATATAGATTGGGAAATGCTAGAGGCAAGCCATGACAGGTTTTAGAAACTAATCAGGAAGTTTTTCTTTAACAGTTGGTTAAGGAAATTATTTGGAACAATGTTGTTTTAGATTTATTGTTAACTTCTAATAGAGAAATGGTTGATAGAATAGAAATTGGGGAATATTTGGGTGCAAGTGATCATTGTTCAATTAGAGTTGATGTTTTGCTACATATGAAGATAAGGAATAACGATATTTCGATTCCAATTTTGAAAAAAAAACAAAACCAGAAGCAAATTTTGTAAAGATGAGCCGAGAATTAGCTGATATGAATTGGACAACTGGATTAGATGAAGATGCTGATCAAATGTGGAAATTAAAAAAGAAAAAAATCTTAAATATTCAACATAGACACGCTTCTTATATATAAAAAAGGGTAGTCGCAAATACAAAACAAGGTTGCCTCCCAAAGGGTATAAATGATAAAATTAAAGAAAAGCATATATTATAAATATAAGAAGTTTAAGTTGACTACAACGGTCGGAGATGTGAAGGATTATAGAAAGTCAAGAGGGTTGGTTGAGCGGGATATTAGGAAATTCAAAAATGTATATGAAAAAACGTTGGCTGAAAATGTAAGAATTTCTTTAAATACATTAAGGGTAATCAAAATGTTAGGATAGTAGTAGAGCCTTTGAGGGATGATACAGGAAGGCTAATATCTGATGATCATTGTATGGCTAATTTATTAAATTTTACTTTTTCTTCAATTTTTACTAATGAAGATGTAAGCAATATTCCTCACCATGAACAGTTGCTAGATGGAAACAAGATTGAATACGATGATCACATTAATTTTGAGCTTATTAAAAAAAAAATGGGAAGTTTAAAGAATGATAAATCATCTGGACAAGATAATAGTTTTGAAAGAGGTTAAAAGAGTAGACAGGTAAGCCACTTGGTATTATCTTTTTAAGTCCTTGAATAGTGGGTAGGCGCCAGAAGATTGGAAGTTGGCTAATGTTTCTCGTTTTTTTCAAGTTATGTGATAAACATTGTCCCAATAATTATAGGCATATTAGTTTTACATCAGTGGTCAGAAACCGTTTTGAAAGTCTGTTAAAAATTCTTTGCAGAGTCATTTAACAAAGTTTAAAATATTGTGGATAGTCAGCATGGTTACATGTAGATGAAGGTAAGGGTATATATTTAGTGCATCTAGATTTTTAGAAAGTATTAACAAGGTGGCACTTAATAAGGTTGTTAAAGACTTATCTCAGTAGGTGTGGGAAATAGGTTGGCTAAGTGGATAGAAGAATGACTAGATGGGAGAAAGAAGAAGGATGTTATAATTGAAGTTCAGGGCTCAGCTATAGGAATTTTGCTCATTTTGATTTACACCAATGACATAGTTAAAAAATGGTAAATAGATTATTTAAATTTGCTGATGATCTTAACGTTTTGGGTGTTTCTGGTTGTGAGGAGGATGCTGTTGTTTAAAAAATGATTTGAATTATTTGGTAGATGACTTTAATTTCAATAAATGCAAGGATATCACAATTTGAATTAGGAGTATAATTCTGATGGGAATAACATTAACAGTGTTATGGAAGAAAAATAACTTGATTTTCTGGCTGATCAGTCTCTTAAGCCATCCCAGCAATGTGTTGTTGCTAGAGGCTTGAAAAATAGGATTTTAGATAGCATCTACTGAGATATTAAATACAAATTTATATTATAGATATAATATTGTTATTGTATAGGTAATTGGATATACCACATTTGGAGTACTGTGTTCAGTCTTGAGCTCTTTTCCTTAGATAGGGCAGTGAATAGTTGGAAAGGGTTCAGAGGAGGGCTACTAGGATGATACATTGGACAAAAAGGTTGTCATACAAGGATAGTTTAAGGTCTTTGAACTTGTTTTTTCTTGAAGAAATGAAGAGTCAGGTGGAACCTGATTAAGGTGTTTAAGATTGTTAAGGGAATTGATGGTGTTGGCGAATCATTTTTTTCACATCTAAAGGTGGCAATTAGGGGACACAGATATAAATTTTGGTAGGCTAGGAGCCATATTCAACTGAAACAGCTTTATTCTTTATTCTAACAGGGTCGCTTTCGAATGTGATGGATGCACTTAACTTAAAGGAAATTAAGAGAAAGCTTGATAAATATTTGAATGATAAGGGCTGTCTTTGTGTTTTTAAGTGTTTAGTTTAATCTAGTGGATAGGAACCAAAAGGACACTTGTCCTTTAATGTTATGTTATGCTATTGTAAAATAAACACAGGTAGTTCGATGTTTGCAAATGTACGATAATGCAAATGGTTGTCTTAAACACAATCACAATGTTAGACTTGCGGCATTACTTTTCTCCTTGTAACCTTAGGTGATTGTAAGAAAATAGGTGTTGACTATCTTTGTCTTTTACTGGGAGCAGCAGTTTGTGAGGGTAAATTTTGGATTCATTTCGTAGTAATACAAGGTATTGCTAATTTTTATCACCGGGTGGCCGAGTGGTGAGTATGAGGACTTATAATGAAAAACCAGATTTCAGTCCCGCGTTAGCCAGACCACAATTAGCTTACTGTAAAGCTTCGTTCGGACTGGCATGACCAGGTGGTTAAGGCCCTCGACTCGCAATGTGAAGGTCGCAGGTTTGAATCCTCGTCACACTAAACATACTCGCCCCTTTCAACCGTGGGGGCGTTATAATGTACGGTCAATCCCACTATTCGTTGGTAAAAAGAGTAGCCCAAGAGTTGGCGGTGGGTAGTGATGACTAGCTGCCTTCCTTCTAGTCTTTCAGTGCTAAATTAGGGATGGCTAGCGCAGATAGCCCTCGTGTAGCTTTGCGCGAAATTCAAAACAATCAACCAACCAAAGCTTCGTGCTTAACAATAAATAAAGTCAATTTCTAATTATGAATTTTTCTTAACTACTTGACAATTTTTAAGACCTCAGATTTTAACTTTTAATTTGTTTATTTCGCCAGATCTTTTCACACGTTTTTACGTTGCTGGTATATGAAGCCTAGTAGTTTTATTTGTGAAGAACAACATATACAGTTGGATTGAGTTTTGCACAGCAAAGAAAATTCTTGTTTTTGTAACGACATACATTTTAGAATGTCCACAAGCACGTTAAATACGTTTCATTTGCATTGTAGTTTCATTTACATATTCATACACAATACTGCTGTAATAGGCATTTTGTAACATAACAAGTTGAATAATAAGTACTTAAAAACCATAATTTCTCTTCAGGCACATTGCGCTTATATATCAATGGTAAAAAACACAAAATCCTATGTTTTCTGGGACAATGAAAGGCAAAATCTTTATAATTAATTACACAGGCCTGTGATTGTTTTATTGTCTTGAAATGTTTACATGTTTTACAGTAATTCCTGTACGCTTAATCCGAAAATGATATCTATTATTCTCCATCGCGTACAGATTTTTCACAAAACGTCATATGTACTTTTACATAAGTGAATCATTTTCATTGAAATCAGGTCACATTTTGTTATGCTTAAAATGTTGGCAACCACTGGTTATAGATTTCTCTAGACCAATCTCGACGTGTGAGTCTTATCGATTGTTCTAGAACCCAAACATAAAAAAACATAATAATAAAAAATGTTCAATGTGGTAAACGAAATAATAACTTGATCTAAGTACGAGTTTTTTTTTTCCCCGATTTTCAAAAAATCCTTATATGATTGAAAAAATGAATATTATTTTCGAAAGCTGCGTAGCTGAATTATGGAAAATCCGTTATTAAAACCAAAACAACTTCAATGAAGTTTAAATTCACAGGCCTGTGTTATAGCCGACTAGTGTCAGTAATAACTAGTCAGCTATAACCAATAATACAGATTTTACCTTTCATTTTGCGAAAAAAAAGTCGGATTAATACTTAAAAACCAACAGACTTAAAATTTTTGATACAAATTTAGGCCTACTGGTTTGCACAGCTTTTGTGGGTTTGGTCGTTTAAACCGTAATAAGTATTTAGCAGCTCCTGCTGAAGCTTTAAATATACGATTGCATCGATCGGACCTGAATACTACCATTTCTCAGGCTATTTGCCAGGACTGTATTTCCTTTAATCTCTGTTATACAATTTTCCTAATTTACAGTAGATTAGTTGTTTTTCTTTTGAAACAGGCTTTCAACTAGCGTCATATTTCAATAAGATTAATTCTGGGACTTTTGGCTGCTGTTTTATAACTTTTATTTATGTCGCTCTTTACGTCTTTTACAAGTACTCTTATTCAGTAGCTCGGCTTGTTTTACATCATTATATTGCTGAAGTCGGGATTAAGTGAACTTTAATTATTGACACGTTCACATGTGAACTATTAGTCTGTCTTGCTGCAGCTTTATCATGTTGAAATTCTTCGCCTTCATTTTGCTTATTAGTAAAACACAATATACTGTCTAGTTTTTATTATGTAAAACAAGACGTCCCCAAGCTCCCCGGTGGTAGAGCGGTATTTCAGAGGACTTAAAACGCTAGAAACCGGGTTTCGATACCCGTGGCGGCCAGAGCACAAATAGTCCATTGTGTAGCTTTGAACTTAACTTCAAACAACAACAACGCTCACCAATGGCTTAGCGATAAGTCTGAAGGATTATAACACTACAAACCGGGTTTCGATAGTCGTGTTGGGCAGAGCACAGATAGCCCATTATATACTGTTGCGCGTAACAACAAACAAACTTATTAATAAATCAAGCCTATTATTTGTACATCTAATGATGTCCAGTAGTTGATATGTAGTTATATCGTGATAATACTCATGAATTATGGATTAAGTTATTTCTTTATCACAAAACATTATGTGGATATAGTGCACAGCTAACCAAACTAGCATGTGCTTTGTCAAGTTCTTATAGCAAAATTAGCCCATTTTCTTGTTCGACTCAAATATCTGACCAGTGATTAATATATATTCTAAAATTTTGAAATCAAATAAAGAAGTGTAAAGTATTGCACACACAAAGAAACCAAATAAGTCTGGCGGGTCTCAGTAATGTTCAAAATGTTACGCGTGTTCTCTTAGTAGAAGTAGGAAAACATAATATAGAAAATCCTTTTTTACATTATAAGGACAATCACGATTTTTGGAAAAAAAAACTTTTTCGGTTATTATTGATTAATAAATAACGCAAAAATATTCAGTACAGTTTTCATTCATAATATATTTTGCGCAATCCATGAGTATGTTAAGAAATAGGAAACTCAATATTGCTGATGATTTGTGCAATCCATGAGTATGTTAAGAAATAGGAAACTCAATATTGCTGATGATTTGTGCAATCCATGAGTATGTTAAGAAATAGGAAACTCAATATTGCTGATGAAGAAGCTTATACTTTTTTGGATTCTCGAATTCATAAAAAATATTGAATTTGATTCTTCTTTACCTTACAAACAAGAGAGATTGCATCTCCTCGCCCCGCCGCTTCTTTTCGAGATTGTATGCGTTTATATTGGATTATGTAAAGTTTCACCTTTGAAAGCTCAGAAAATACTTCTCAGATCCATAATGATCAACGATTTGGATCGTTTCTGCAGTATGATGAGGAGTCTCAACCCTAACGTGCCCATGCAATATGGTAAAAAACAGATCACACTCTACAGACTTATTGACCGAAAACCGCGGAAATGCCCTATCTCCCCGTTATAAAAAATGATTCAAAGTGATCCATGTTTGGGGAGGACTGTACCATAATGACGTCCCATCTTATGTAAAAATTTAGTGTACATTGATTTAATAGTTTTCGAGATAGTCACGTGGAAACACCGACACACGGTTTGTTTGCTTTGAATTTCGCGCAAACCTCCACGAGGGCTATATGCACCAGCCTTCCATACTTTAGCAGTGAAAGATCAGAGGGAAGGCAGCTAGTCATCACCATCCACCACCAACCCTTGAGCTACTCTTTTACCAACGACTAGTAGGATTGACTGTCACGTGATAACTCCCCCATGGCTGAAAGGGCGAGCATGTTTGGTAGAACGGGGATTGGAACCCGTGACCCTTGGATTACGAGTCAAGCGCTCTAACTACACACACACACAGACCCGATTGCAATACTTCACAACTGGATAAATACCAAGTTTTGGGTAATCACACTATTTGTTTCTCAAAGGTATTTGTTTTCGACAATTATAATTACTCTTTTGCTGTTTGAGAATACTTTCGCTGTAAATATAAATTTACTATAACTTACTTCAGTTTATTTTTAAAGCAAGTAGACTATATTGCTATGGCCAGTGGCGTAATTACAAAAGATGCCCCCTTCCCCCCGCATAAAAAATAATTGGGCCCTCTACATATATTCCTCGGTCCCCCTTTTGGCTCGGCCCCCCTCGCAATTTTGAGGACTGCGGGGACATACGTCACTGGTTAGGCCTCTTTACATTAAACATTTAGAGTGTAGTCTGAAATACGTGAAACCGTTTAAGTGAAAATGCGGAAATTAAATGAAGTACATTGTAGGTTAAACCACTGAATACAAAATACGTATTGGTAAAAGAAATGAATGATTAGTTGACATAAATTGTAAGAAAAAAATCTATGAAAAACTGATAATTTATTAAATAAATACATAAATACAGAAGTTTAAACCAAAGGAGAATCATGTTTCATTTCAGGATTATATAAACTAAACATGAATTTCTCTCCTTATAAAGAGTGTATAGGTATGCTGTATGTGATTATTTATGATATTAGTATTAAATTAATCATTAGAGATTAAAGGTACCTATTAAAGTTTTATCCAGAAGAAGCAGTATCATTTCTATATTCTTCTTAACAAAAATACAAAAAAAATAATCTTTAATATTCTCGTAAAACTGATTATAACCGCAAGAAAAAACAAAACAAAAACACTCAATCTAAATCAATATCTTGATTTAACATATGAAAATATTTGTATTAGTTTCAAATAAAAGTCGTTTGACGATGTTTTGGAATAAAAAATTGAGTTTATATAACAAAGATTATTTATCGCATAATTACATTTTACAGAAAAGATTTTGAACTGTTTTTAACGTGTATAACAAAGCCAGTTTAGTTTCAAGAAACATGATAAGATGACATTCGAACAGCAAAGCTGAGAATAACAGTCTTATGGAATACTGTAATGTGTACAAGTTATATGGCCTATGTCCTGAATATCTGCATACAAAGAAACAAGAGAGAATCCTCAATAGCCGCGGCACTTGAAATTCTGTAAGGCAGGATCAGAGTAAATTGATATATGAGACCTTCCTTTTTATTAGCTATATTTTTGTGCGCCAGCAATACCCGATTTGATTTTATTACAACTTTAAAAATTGAAAATATTTTGTTTATATTTGAATTGATAATTGACACATATTTTTGAAATAACCTACATCAATATCAATTTTGGAACATGAACAAATTTACCATTGAAAATAACTCCTTAAATGCTTGGCATGCAAACTACATGGATCGAACCTCGAATATTAGTATTGCAGGCCCTCACATTTACTAATTGAACCATTGAGGGACAACAGTTTCTTAAATATTTAGGTTTGATGAATTTTACTTATTTTATTAAGCTTGAATTAAGTATGAATAAACGTATTAAATATTGCTTTAATAATGGTAATTTCTTAATTCTTTACAGGCTCAACATTTTCAACAACAGTAAAGAAATACGTACCTCTAATAACGGTAATTTTATTTGTCATCTTACTTTTCTTTCATTCAGAACAAACGAATCATGTAAGAAAGGTTAAACAGAGTTAAAATTCTAATGTTAAGATTTTTACAAAGTTTTTCAAGCAACGATGGTAATTCTTATTAACTTTCTTTTATAGAGCTCTTTATCATCTCTAACTATTATTACTATAAAAACAGCAACATTTACACTTGTTAGTAAGAAGAATTGTTTGAGAAACAATTGAGTGTTTTCAATTTTAAAAACTAAACAAAAGCATGCTTCAAAGGAGATAAAATCAGAAAAAAATATTACAGTTACTTAGACGAATAGCTACAAGATGATCAACGTTAGAGTTAAAGTTATCACTTTCATTTTTTGTTTATATGCTAGTGTACACAAGTATAAATTTAACAAGTTTTCAGTTTGGCGGTGGGTGTGGATAACTAGCTGCCTTCTCTCTAGTCTTTCACTGCTAAATTAGGGACGGCTAGTGCAGATAGCCCTCGTGTAGCTTTGCGCGAAATTCAAACCAATCAAGAAAAACTTGTTGGAAAATTATAGCGATGATTATACAGTGCCTTGAAAAAAGTATTCACCCCCTGCAAGTTTCAACATTTTGTTGCCGTCTGAACTTGTAGTCATGAAACTTTCAAATGGGACTATAAATTTAGAAACTACACAATCTACTTTAAACTGATAAAGCTAATAAACGCTGATATATATGCAAGTACGTTAGATTTTCAAAGACAATTAGAATATTCTCAATTGCATAAGTATTCAACCCCTTTCTACGGCAACCTTAAACCAGTTCAGGTGCATGCAAAAGATTAATTTGAAATGTTACACAATTAGTGTAATGGTCTCTGTCTGTGTTTCATTAAAGTGGTTTAATTTGACTTTAGAGTAAATGTAGCTGTTCAAACCACAACTCACATTGTGATATTAGAAACCAATTATGAAGTCCAAGGAACGTTCCAAACAAGCCAAGGATAACGTGATAGAAAAGCACAAATCAGGAGAAGGTTACAAGAAAATTTCAAAGTAGCCGATTATCCCTTTGATTAACAAGTGGAATGTGCTTCATACCATCTAGTCACTATTCAGATCAGGCCGCCCTTCCAAACGAAGCAGCTGAGCAAGCAGGAAACTGGTTAGGGGATGCCACTGTGAAGCAAAATTGATTTTGAAAGATTTGCAAAGTTCCATCCGTGTCTGAGATGGGAGTCAGTATTCATACACCGAAAGTATCTCGGTCCCTACACAAAGCTGGGCGAGTGGAAAGAAAGAAGCTATTACTGAAAAAAGAATCATCTTAAATCTCATATGAAGTTTGCATGTAAATGATACTTCAGACATGTGGAAGAAGGTTTTGTCAGGCGAGACAAAAATTGAGCTTTTTGGTCTAAATTCAAAGCGTTACGTCTGGCGCAAACCCAACACAGCACATCAACCAGTCAACACCATCCTAACTGTCACGCATGGTGGTGGCAGCATGATGTTATGGAGATATCTCTCATCAGCAGGGACTGGGAATTTTGTCAGGATTAAAGGGAAGATGGATGGTGCAAAGTACAGGCGAATCCTAGAAGAAAACCTGCTTGAGTCAGCTAAGAATATAGAACTGGGTGGAAAAATTCAAAATTCAGCTGGACAATGACCTGAAGTACAAGGCCAAAGCTACAATAGAGTGGTTTCAGAAGAAGAAAGTGAATGTCTTGGAGTGGCCTAGTCAAAGTCCCGATTTGAATCCAGTAGAAAATTTATGGCGAGATTCGAAGATTGCAGTCCATCAATGATCCCCAACGAACTTCTCAGAAATTGGGACAATTTTGCCAGGAAGAATGGGTAAAAATTACACCACCCCATTGTGCAAAGCTGGTAGAAACCTATCCAAAAAAGTCTCAAAGCATTAATTGCTGCCAAAGATGCTTCCACCAAGTACTGGCTTAGAGGGCTGAATAGTTACACAATCAGCAAATTTCATTTTATATATTTTCTTTGCTGATATTCAACATCCTCCACACATAATAGGGTTAAGTTTGATCATTAGACTTTTAAATAAAAACAAGTTCATTAAAAAATTGTTTACAATATTTGTATTTCATCAAAATGTGAAATTACTGGTAGGAGGTAAATACTTTTGCAAGGCACTATGTAAACAAGGATGTAACGAGAAAAACTATTGGGAAATTTTCATCAGAACTTTACATAAACGATATTGTAAAGTTAATATGACCAACATAATTATACCGAAATTATAATTTCTTGTTTGTGTTGCTTATATCGTAGCTCTCTACCATTTAAGAGTTTTATAAAATCTAATAATTCAGAATTTCTAAAAGAAAAAATGTTTGCGATTTTCGTTACTTGACGATAGTTGTAACAATTTTGATTATTATTGAACATTACAACAGTATAGTCCCCAGTTTCACAGCGGTATGTCTGGGGACTTACAACGCTAGAAACAGGGTTTCGATACCCGTGGTGGGCAGAACAAAGATAGCCCATTGTGTAGCTTTGTGCTTAACTTCAAACAAACAAACTAAGCAAGAAGATAATAGTAAATTTAAGAATCGTGCCAATAACAGCCATTCAACGCAGATACTCAATTTACAAACGAAATATTTGAAAATAAATATTTTTCTGTCGCCAACTTTACCTGATTTAAATAACATGTAACAGAGATATATTGTTTATCATTATTGAATTATTGATAATATTCTTATTTCCATTTCATTTAGGATTCAACTTCTACCTCGGTAATTACTACAAAATCTACTTTTTTCTCTACTGGACTTTCAAAAATCACCTCAACTACAAATGTGTCAACTACAATATCATCAACAAAACCTACCATAACACCAACAATGAAAACTACCACTTCCACTTCCACACCAACTACAACAAAAACTACCCCCATGCCAACTACAACAACTACTGCTACCACACCAATTACTACAACAGCTACAACCCCATTAACTACTAGAACTCCACCAACTACTACTACAACTACAACAACAACTACTACCGCACCAACTACTACAACTACAACAACTCCACCAACTACCACAACTACAACAACTACTACCACACCAACTACTACAACAACCCTGCCAACTACAAGAACTACAAAAATAACTACTAACACACCAACTACTACAACTACCACCATTACACCAACTACTACAACTGCCACTACTACACCAACTACTACAACTACCACTACTACACCAACTACAACAAAAAATACTGCTACTATCAAATCAATTACGATTACAAACACCCCTTCTTCACCCACTACAGCCTCATCAGTTACAACTTCTCAACAGATAGCTGCAAAGGTGTTAACCACAATAATTGAAAAATCTACTTCCAAATTTATTACGACACCTTATTCGACTACAAATGATGAAACCCTATCAACCATCCCAACAAACTTACCATCTGCAGGAAGTACTATTTCGGGATCTATCACGCCAATTAATTTAACTATGTCGGAGGAGGCCTTGACAGCTACCACACCTATGATTTCTACTGCAAGGCCAACGAACGTAACAACAGCCCACCATAGATCCGGAAATCCTTCTGCATCTACAGGCAATTCTGGCCAGAGTATTTCTCCACTTACTATTGGAATTGTCGTAGTTTCACTAGGAGTGGTAGGTTTCGTAACTTTGCTTGTCATCGTGTTAGTCAAAAAGAAAAAGAAAGGGAAGATGATGGACGAATATCCCGAAATGAAATATCTACCAGACAATGAAGTTTTGGAGTACGCCGACGCTACCGCCGAAGTCAGCACTTAAACAGGTGAAATGCAGTTTGCTCCACAAGGAACTGGAGCTACAGTTATTAAATAATGGCACCTAATAGAACTTTAACTGGACACAAGCTGTTGTTTGGAAGATCATGATAACTAGAACCCTCGTTGATCATGATAACCCTTGTAAATAAGCTGTGATTATGTTCATAATTGTGGACTATAAACAGGTTTTATAGGACTTAACAGTCAGTGAAAGATGATTTTTCTTTGTTGATCATCTCTTCTAATGTATGGGTTTTTATGTAGTTTTTTTTAGAGAAAATCGGGACTCTTTCTGTTTCCGTATTGTAACCTTCTAAGCACACACACACACACACATATATAAGCTGTTGAATAGAGGCAGTAGATAACGTGGAGGCCAGATAGCAGGGTATAATATTAAAAAATTGAGGGAGAGGCCACTAGAGGAATAGCTGTATTAGAAATGTTAAAATATATTTTTTTGAAATAAAATACACAGTTCATATTTAATTTTTTTCGGTACAAACCCAACTCTATGTATTAATCATCTAAATCAGTGGCTTATTCTTGTGAAGTAATAAAAACACACAGTTTTTAAGTTTTTTAAAAATCCCAATTCAACTCTATGAATTAATCATCTGTATTATTGGCTTATTTTAGTGAAATAATAAAAACACACATTTTTTAAGTTTTCTTCTTTCAATCCAAACTCAACTCTATAAATTAATCATATATATTATTGGCTTATTCTGGTGATAAAAACACACAGCTCTTATTTGACGCTTTTCAATACAACTCAACTATCTAATACATTAAGGAGTACTTAGAAGTTGCTGTACTCTTGAGGTATGTTTTGCGTAATTGCACATTAATCATTTTATTCTATTTTTTGTTCTCTCGAGGACTTTTAGACCGTTTCAAACGAAAACTACTACTATCTCTTGAAATGATTTCAAACACTGGAGCTAAAGGTAAATCCTACTATCAAAACTTTTTTTTTTTCAAACACAAATTAAACATGATCCGATGAAAAAACTTTATGTTAGATGCTACTTCTTAGAAACTTATTTATTAACTTCTGTTTTTGATAGCTATTACATACAATAATTTATTGATAGCTAAAGTCATTTGAGTTATGAGGACTTCTTTAACGTATTTCTGATTCTGCTGTACAGGTTTAAAGAATACAACATATTCCAAGCTGTACAACTGTACAACTAAACAGTAGTCCACTGGTTGGTCGGTTTAAGAACTTACAATGCTAAAGTCCGTGGCTCGTTTCACCCTGGTAGACAGAGCGCAGATCGCCCATTGTGTAGCTTTTCGCTAAAACAAGAACAATAATGACTAATCATTAAATTTAATATCATAACGTTTCTAGGATTGTGATTAAGTTTTTGCAGTATTGTATAACTGTTGAATTTTTTGGTAAGCGTGTGAGAAACCTCTAATACATAGCATTAAACAAAAAATGTAACCGATTCAAAATAGTTTCCTATTTGGACTGTAAAAACTTGACAATCAGATCCAAACATATAAGTAATACCAAGCATGTTTTACTTTCTCCTGGACCCATTTACAGTACTGTAAGATAGTGAAAGCACAATTAACTATTGCAACAAGAACAAAGTTAATAGCCATATGGCGTGTCTAAGAACAAGAATTTACGATTCAAGTATCAGTAAATTTAATGTAATATTGCTAGAGCTGTAACTTGCTATAAAACGTTTATCAAATGGTTTATATTATGATCACACAACTGAAAGAAACTAGGAAGACTAAAACGTGAATCTTTTTTTATATACAGTATTTCATAATCTTCCAGAAAAGATGTTTGTAGATTTTATGTTAGCCTTGTTTTCCAGAATAGTGGTAAAAGATAATATAGTTGGCTAAAAAAATTATTTTCGTTCGATAAGAATTATGTTATGTTTTTCTGGGCTACATTTTTTACAAATATTTCAGTTATAAATTAATATATTTTTCTTGTTAACGAAATAAGACAGGATTAATTTTAATTAACACTTTATAAGAATGGTGTTATGTTTTTCTGGGCTACATTTTTTACAAACATTTCGGTTATAAATTAATATATTTTTCTTGTTAACAAAATAAGAGAGAATTAATTTTAATTAACAGTTATAATTCCCTAACAATTAGTCTTTACTGAATCAATTTCTAGAAAACAACAACAAGGAAATTGTTTTCACATTTGAATGTGGTTTACTCCAAAATGTGTTGATGTAACACATTCATCAAAATATAGAAATTTACTTTTTAAAAACTTAAATATTTAGTACTATTCAAATTTATTTTACATTGAAGTATGTAAAAATTTTCTGATTACAACATTTTGCATGCGTGCACAAAAGCAACAAAACTGGAATAAAGGGTCAGCTTTATAAAAATAGCAGAATTATATAAAACAACAAACCCTGTAAAGATGTTCAAGAAGAAAATATTGAGGAAAACTTGGTTTCCTTATTTTATTGCAACTGGAATAAGCAGCAATATGAAAATAAAAAAATGGTTAAACTTAACATGGCTGGGGTACGACTTGTTCCAGGTCTCTTTCTGGATGGTCCTGGTGCCTTAAATTATAAATCTTCGATCTTAACACATCTTTGTGCTGTGAATTTATGGATGTTTCGCGCGGAAAGAGCTGTTACATACCCTTCCCAAAAGCGACCAGTTTTCGATGGTATCATACTACCTACGTAACGCCAAACAAAGTCAAAATGTAGTTATGATGCATTCCGTTCCACCGCAACTTTATATCGGCTGTGATTGTCACGTGATTTGCTAACTTACATGTATGAAGCTGCTGTTTTAATGTGATGTAAAAGTGTTTCTATATACTCGGAGATATAATAATCGTGGTAGTCAAGCATTTGGAACAGCTGTGGGCATATCCCAAGTTTGGCGAAAAGTTCGCTTCTTTATAGTGAGTCACGGCAATGTTACTCCATCCTTCTAGCTAGGCTGGAATTACTGCCGTGCCTCTAGATAGTGAAATCGGTTGACTGGTTGTTCTATAATTTACCTTCTTGAAAAGGGTTAATTATAAACATGTTAAATGGTTGACTGTTCAAAAGGAAATGTATGGCAAATATATTACTAAATAATCGAGAAACGTTCTGTGTAACAATCTTATTGTAATGATTAAAAAATAATCTTGATGCTACAACATTACATGAAAGTTATGATTTAAAATTTTGAAGTAGAAAAAGATACTTGTTAAATTCTTACAGTACATATATACAGAAATTAACATGCATATATATTTTTTGCTTATTTCTTTTTTCTCTGTTTTATATTCGTACGAAATGGATAGGCAGTCATCCACTTTCCTAATTTCTCTGTTTTATATTCGTACGAAATGGATAGGCAGTCATCCACTTTCCTAATTTCTCTGTTTTATATTCGTACGAAATGGATAGGCAGCCATCCACTTTCCTAATTTCTCTGCTTTATATTCGTACGAAATGGATAGGCAGCCATCCACTTTCCTAATTACTATTATTCTGCTAGTAGAACGTGTTTAAATTCGACAAGATCTATAGAGCTGTGGTATTTCAAGTCACGGTTCTAAAACCAAGTAAAAAAATGGCTCATTTAAGTGGAACAGACCGACAGACATCCGTTTCCCCAAATCATATTTTTGTATATCCAAGATTATGAATTATATTTTGCAAAATATTCATATAAATGTAAAGATTAATAATTCTATAATATTTAACTCATCTTAAACATTATAATCGCTAACGTTAATGAAATTAACTTTAAAGAAAATAAAGTTAATGTTCGAACAGGTATGTCTTTAGATCTAAAAGTAAGTTCAGACTACATATCAACAGCATAATTGAGTCTCTAAGTGCTGAAACAAGAGGAGTTCAAAACGTATTCAGATTAAATATCAGTTACATAGTTGAGTCTCTAAGTGTAGAAGTAAGAGGAGTTCAAAACCTATTCAGACTAAATATCAGTAATATAGTTGAGTCCCTAAGTGTAGAAGTAAGAGGAGTACAAAACGTTGTAAACACTCATTGCTGTAAACACGCGCTTTGGGGCTGTGGGTATGTTATAAAAATGGTAGTCCAATCTATATTTTTTGGTCAGACAAGAGTAGCCCATAAGTTGGCAGCGAGTGCTGGTTGAATGGTTACGCACATATAATTCTTGTGTTACATTGTGTGAAACTTTTAAGATAAACAAATAATTCTAACTTCGCGCGGATTCTAATGTTAAAAAAAATAAATATTTTTGATGTTGTAAACGGCCTAATGAACATTGACAGAAGAGTATTTTTTTTTTATAACGTTCACATGTGAAGAAAAAAGTTAAACCAAATTTCGACCTTCTAAGAGAACTTTGGTGTGCCCTGCAAAAACTAGATGCAATGGTTGTTAAAATAATTGAACAAAAAATATATATGGTAATCAAGAAAACAGAGAAAGAATTCTTACAATTACAGTAAGGAAGTAATAATTTGAAAACTAAGATGATGAATTTTGGTTTGATATTTACCACGTTCAAGAATTTCAAGAATGCATGTCTTAAAAACAGCAGTAGTAGCTATTCTCATAAATATCCCAAGATGCACTTTAACGTTGATTTCCAGCGAAATTTCAATGAGTTGCAAAAATAAATCTTGTTCTTTCTACCACAAACAGTTTGTAAATTTGAGAAAATACAAGACTAATATATCTGAATTCATTTTGATGAAAGACATCAGAAGCGATAAACACTCCAAATATGACTCAAGTGTTAATTGTTCATTTAACTCATCATATTTTAGAAACTCTGATGACTTGGAGGTTTTGTTAAACCACTAACACCATTTTTTATGTTAGAAATTAGCTCCAACTTCTTTCATGTATTCAGTACAGACATACAAGTCTTTGTATCTACGATTATAAACCCTTTGCTAAAATTATTTTCTGGTGTTCAAACGATTTATTTTTGATATTTTCTGTCAAGTGTCAGAGGTGGTTACTTCGAAAACAATAAATAGTAAGATTTTTTAGACTGAAACTTTAAATTTCCAAACATATCTTTGTAGAAAAAGTTGTTTGATTCAGTTCAAGCCCCACTTTGTTTATCAAAAGGGCTTATTTAATTCACAGTGCAAATTCAGCGTTTACTTATCCTTCAAGTGTTCCGACCTAACTGGAAGGCATAAACGGTGGAGTTCTTGCAATATTGGAAAAATAGCTTTATCCCAAATAATAGGATTTGC